GCGAGGACCGGAGGCGTTTCAGATGGCCGAGGCGGGGAGGACGGGGTGGGGGTACCCCAGGTCAGGAGGCGGCAAGATGCTCCTCTGCCCCCACAACGTGGGTGACAGCCCCACAGCTCGGCCCTTCCCGGTGCTCCCAGACGTTCCACAGACACTGGGACACCCTGCTGGCCCTCCCTGTGATTCCCCAAAACCCGTCCAGCTAGAAGGACCCCAACTCTGCCAGCCACAGAGGGAGGCCACGCACTCCCATTTATCCCGACGGAGAACGGATAAAAGAGCAGAGGAGGGCAGGACCAGGCCCCGGCACATCTGCAGGGCACGGGAGGAAGGCTCAGTCCCCAGTGACCGCAGCCACCACGCTGTCAGCACCGTCGCTCCAGCCCCAGGAGCTCCAGCCGGGGGTGCCGCTGCTTGCCGAGCCCCAGGGACAGTGACATCCACCCCAAGCACACAGCGACAGCCATAGGGACAACAACCGGGACATGTGAAGTGTCCCCAAAACTCGGTGTGTGGCCGGGATGGGGTGCAGCACCCCGGGGGAGGAGAGGCCACCCCACTCCTACGGTGCTGAGCCATGAGCCAGGGACAGGGTTTATTACCCAGAGCGATGCACCTTGCCCAGCGCCGGCAATCAAACATCCGCTGCCTTCTCTCCCTGCAGACCGGCCGAGTAACGCCCACGGGCTTACGAGGGACCAACGCTTTGCTGCTCGTAGACGGGGGAAACTGAGGCACGGGGCCCAGCTTACAGCAGAGCACGCATGCGGGCGAACCGCAGGGGAAAGCCGCTCCAGGCAACGTCCCAGCCAGAGAGGAGCGGGGCTGGGCTGCCACCCATCGTCCCCGCTGCGTTCTCCGGGCGTCACCGTGAAACCAGGGCCAGGACGGCAAACACCAAACACGCTGCCGAACCAGCTCGCCGGCAGCCCGGAGCGCATTCCTGGGTGCCGGCACCACCCCGGGGCCCAACGCCTTGGGTTGGCGTGACCGTAGGGTCGCTCATGGCTGGTTTTGGCCGCCGGTGGCTGATG